AGGAGACCTATGGCACGGAGGACACGGGTCTGGGGAAGCCGGCATGGAGCCGCACTCACTTTTGCACCCCTTCCGCCTGCTCCTTGCTGAAGGCCTTGGCCGTGTCTCCTCCCACAGCCTCCTGGCTCTCGCTCTGGGGCCGGGGCGAGTCCCCGTTGGGGCTGCTCGCCGGCCGCCTGCAGTAGGCCCCGTTCCCCGCCGAGTGGCCGTTCTTCGTCAGCACATCCAACAGCGCTGGGGAAAACAAACAAAGTGTGTCAGTATCATTTGGGTCACTCAGCTCCCTCGATCCTATTTTAAAATCGCACAAAGACACTGAAATACTCCCACAACTCAGCTGTAGCCACAACGGCAACATCAGTGTCAGACAGAGATGACTTAACTCCCTGGAATCACTATGCTGTGAATCCTTCCTTCTCTAACTCCACATTGTTCTACAGGAAAGAAGACATTACATAATCCTGGGCTGTCCTGTCTCATGCAGACAGTTTACACTGGCAGCCACAAATGCTGACCCCAAACTACCAAGCTGCAGACCCTAACAGACACAATCTACACCCTCCCACCCAACCTCCCTCAGCAGGGGGGGACACCGAGGTCCTCCCACAGTGACATTCATCCCGCACTTCGAAACATTCGTCTGCCAGAACAACACAAGCCAGGCAAAAATCAGTGAATCCTCACCTGGCGGACAGTGACGAGCAGGAAACAATCCTTCTCACGTTGCTGAAACCTACACATCTGCTCCTCTCATCAAAGACACATTCATTACAAACTACAGATCTTAAAAATCAATGCTACACTTCTCCCATCTGCATCTCAGCCCAAATAACTGCAACTCCTTTAGCATAGCCGCTAATTCTCCACACCTCTACAGTCAGCTTTGGGTCAGTCATTGAATTAAAGGATTGCAAGTTTACAACCAGCCCAGCATTAATCTCCTTTACTTCTTCCCATTTGCTCCAGTTACCTCTTCCAATCTCTACAGTATCTTCATCCTGTACTTTTCCCTTGTTAAATTTTTTTTTGTGCAATTACCTCTTTTTAAAAGTGCTAAGGCGTCGCCAAGAGACTCTTCCATTTTTAGACTCAGCCTTCTAGGCCTCGAATCTGGCAGACGCAAATTGAAATGTTCAACCACAGCTCCACACATACCCAGGACACAGTTCCTACATACAAACCTACTGTTTCTATTTCTTGTTTTTATCTGTTTGTTACTGCCGAGAATGCCATGCACTCATTTCCAATAAAGGACTGCTGTAAGCCACTAGATTACATTCATTTTCTCTAACTGGGGCCATCAGAAGAATTATCTGATAGCATAATCCTCAAAGATGGACTGACATCATTAAAACAGGATAGACATGAAAATACAGTCAGACTGTCAACAACATACTGGCCCTGATGCCAGTCGCTAATCAAACGGCTGCTACACCAGCATATCCCTACAGTATAAGGTACTAACACAAAAAACAATAAATCAGAATTAAGTCAGAAAATAAATCACAGGTCTTACTGTCCTGTGTATGGCAGAGACCTCCAAGTGAAAACGATGTTCGATCCAGTTATAGGTAACAGCGGGAACGGCTAATCCCTCTTGGATGGATAAGCAGACGTAGACATTGACAGATGGCGGAATGTATGGACAAGGATTGATCGATGTATGTATGAATGAATGAATGAATGAATGACCAACAGACCAGTCTCTGTTTATGTTGTCCTTGCAAAACCGCCCAACAGAGCTGTCGCGTTAAAATATTTCTTCTACAAACACGCCAGGTTATTATTTAATTGCTTGCCTTGTCATATAAGATGGGACACCGCATAAGCCGCCGGAGAAACGTTTCTGGAACCATCGGGCCTCACGGTAAGATATGCCGGCATTAGACGCAATTCAATACATTCGACTCCGTCCGACGTGCTTCCTTCATTTTACGGCAACAAATCGATCGACTACCTAATACAATAATAATACTGTTAAAACGACACTGTCTGGGAAGTAAAAGCGGCCAAGCCCGCCTGTCAGCTTCCTAACTACGCCACTTAGCCGGTCGCTTGTGCTCACATAGCTAGCTATCAGCTAGCCGGCTAAGCTAATAGGCAGAACATGTAAAACGCCGCTATCTCCCACGAAAGAGCCCAGCTTACCCTTCGCTTTTTCGGTTGGATATAGTTTCTCCGCTTTATTTAGGAATTTCAAAGCCTTCTCCTTATCTCCAGCTTCAAATGCTTTAGTTGCTATATTAATACATTTCTCTGCTTCGTCCCTGTTCCCTTCCATCTTTCTCGTCTTCCTCCTTCTGCCTCAAGCCAAACTGACAGCAAAGACTGCAGAAGAAACCACCGCGGGATTGAAATCCTACGTTTCGTATCTTTTATCTCCACCCTTTAAATCCACGTATTAAGACTTTTAGATATATAGGTATCCAAATTTAATTATGGAAGTTTAAAATATATTTGATGTTTCGGCTGAAGTTTGTCTTGCACGTCGTTTTTTGCTTTGTTTTGTGATGAATCGGCATTTGCAGTTTCTAAATGAATCCGTCCGTATCCGTTAGACATTGGTAATCGCGTCATTGAAAGCAGGAAGTTCTGTCGCTATTAGTAGAGTATGTCTTATGAGAGTATAACCGAAAGAGTGTAGAAATAGTTTTTTTTTTTTTAATCTGTGCTTATGTCAGTTAATCAAATAAAATGCAATTTACTCTCAATTAGCAGATATTCATATCAATTATAATTAATTTATAGCGTTTATTAGGATTTGTTATATGTAATCAGGATTTTGTGTTCATTTTTTGTGATTAACATTTTTTATTAGAAAATACAACAAATCATAAACATATAAACCACACAATACAGTACAGATACTGTCGATGGTCGATTACAGATAGTTGATACAAATTGAGACCACGAAAACATGCAGAGCATTCCCCTCATTACATCAAAAATAAATTAAAAAGACAGACGTCTTATACCAGACCTCTAAGTTTAACCACGGATCTCTTGCTTTCCAAAGTCCTGAATGGACCGAGTCATCCAGGACCAAGCCTGGATGGTTTTGGGTTTGGCCTTGTTAAGGCGTGCAGTTGTACACTCAATTGAAGTAATGTACTGATAAGCAGTTAACCAATATTGTGTTAGAGGTAGATTAGGGAAGAACCAGAATCTTAGTATAGTTTTTTTTTTTTTTTTTGCTGCAGTGAGTCCTGCAAGGAGCAGTCTACGGTGAGTGAGAGTCAGGAGGATTTTGTGTTCATAAAAATATTTATTTTGATGTCAGACAATGAACTGCCAAATAAAATTGGAGACAATGGTCCCGTTGTTGACAGATCAAGTTTGCACAGACCTGGGGATGATGAGAAAAAGACCTGCTTTGCCTATACTGTGGCCATGTATTAAAGTGACCCAACAGTTTTATTCTTTTGTAAATTAGCCTGTGGAGCCAACAGGAGAGGTGAATAAATTGAGATATAAACTGAATTCCTGTATCACACCGACTATGCAAAGTACAGATCTCTGCTTGTTTAAAAATGGATTAGCTTATATACAAGGTGATACCAATGAAGATCTATTGTATTTGCGTATGACTTCTTCTTATCTAGAAAAGGATCATCTGGGTCTGACGTCATACTCAGAAGTCTTGGAAAATGATACATGCTTGGCATTTTCTATCAACCTGACTGCCCTTGAAAAGTCACAGTACAGCATGCACGCCCATGAAGGCTAGAGGAACCAGCTAATGGCCATACTTGAATGCCTTCTCATTACATAATGATGAACATTGCATTGTTTGAAAGTTCTCAGTGATCAAAACCATGAGAATCCATCCATTGACAGCTGTAATACAATTACAGTAACTTTCTTGAATATACAGAAGTTGCCTTTGGTATGTAATCCTAGGCTATTTACACGGTCGTGGGCGTGGCCTGCACTTATTATGGAACGGGGCACGTAACACCATCTTCTACACCTGCCTTTGCAACTGCTACCTGGAGATGACTGGTAAAGCAGAGGGCCTTCACCATCTGGACCATCCATACGGTGTTCAGAGCAGCCTGTGGTGTCAATGGGTAAACAGACAAATTTTGTGACCAAACATTATTATGAATATTCCATTGCTACTAGTAATGACCGTAATATCAAGTTAAATCCAGTCGTCAGGTTGATACATCCTTAAACCTTATACCTCCTGATACCTATATATGTATATCACCAATGGTTTTATAATATACATGATAAAACCCAACGGCAAAAGAACACGGTACTCCAAAATTTCAGATCAGGTAGCTTATTTCCATCTTGATTCCCGGCTTGAGAAATCTGATTATACTTTCATACTATGCCGGAGACACAACCAAGCACAAACTTCCGTTCAAACAAGTTCAAACACTGCCCTTCAGTTAAGCGTATTTGGAAAGAGTGTACAAACAAAGCCACCTATTAAAACACAATAAGGCAATTTGGTTAAAAGACAACATAATAAGTAAATATTATTGTGGTCTTGTCAATCTCAATTTAATTTAAGAATGACACTAAACAATTGGTTCTGATATTTACCGAATTATATATATTCATGAGTTTGTAATTATAAATATTCATGAAGGCTTTTGATGCAAAAACAATGGTCCTTTATTCTTGTGAAACCTCATCCTAATGTTTATGTGGTTTACCTATGCTCAAGACATTCTACTCAGACAAAATACAAGTTAGATTTAATGTAATGACGAACCTGTCCAATACATATTATAATAAGAAATGAGGTGGTTTATACGTTTCCTTTTTTTACTAAGACATAACACGTTATCAATATATTTATTGTGCTTTTACAATTTTAATTCAAATCACATTATATGTATCACATTTGGGCACGACTGTACTGAAAACACTTGGCTGAGATCGGTTTAGGGAATGTATTTTTTCTAAGTGATCTTTTACCTTTTTCTGAGAGATCAATTAAATTACCTTTTCCCGTACCATACTCGCACAACGCGCAGAGGACGTGCGCGCTACTGAGGCGCGCCACACCACTCCAATACTCAAGTGCTTTTGCAATGTCACGTGACCAGCAGTGACGCGAAACATGGCGGAGGCTGGGGATAGTGTCGGTCGGTCTGAAGACGAAAATGTGCCAACTTACGAGAATGTTGACGTGAACAGCAAAATATTTCGTGTGGGCACCTTCGGGCGCCTGTGGACCGAGAAGCTGCGGCCGTCCGACTTCTCTTTCCAGGACGGCGACGAGGAAGCGGAGGATGCCGCCTTTTCGCTGGACATGGGAATCACCCCGCAGACATTGAGGGAGATCAAGGAGATCTGCAGGTTCGCCCCTCAGCCTCCAAATGTCTCCTTCGTTTTATCGCATTGCTTCTTTAAGATTGCAATGGGAACAAAAGCAAGATTCCTTTTAGGTGTACTCTAAAAAAGTTCGTTCAGAAGCAATCTCGTCTCATTAAGGATCTGTATGTTGGTTGAAGTGGCATCTCACTGTAATCTTTCCTTTTCTAGCCCCGATACATTAAAATCTGGTACTGAGACCGTGCAAACCGAAATTGTGCCGGCCGAGCCGATCCTGCGGACCTTACGGTAATGTTCCCTTTAGGCGTCTGGCAAGCGTGTGATTTGCCCGGCGTGTTTGCGTCCCTAGTAAAACTATCATGCTTTCTTATCATGCACCTTATTGCGTTTAAAAATAATACTAATTATTTCCCGTCCACAGACTGCGGAAAAGGAGACAGGATTACCAAGAAACCCTTCAGAGAGATTTTAGTGACCGACAAAACATTCATGCTAGTGAATTGGTGAGTGTCGCCCTCTGATAATGATCTATGTCAGGTGAAGAAGTGGTCCCGCAAAACAATTCAAACTATTCAAGACCCAAACAACATAACCATAAGCACTTCTGCATGAAATATTCTAAAGCCTCCTTACTTTCTAAAGCAAACCTGGAGCTGGTCATGTTTTTGTTGAAGCCTTCCTATATTGTGGAGTCCATTATTGATCCTCAAATTTTTGTCACCTTTAGGAGGGCTTAGCAGCCGGGAAGAAACCCATGGATCCTAAATACCTGGTCCCAGAGGGCGAGATCATCCTCAGTGTCAACGTTCTGTACCCTGCAATATTCCAGAGGGTGACTGTCTCTGTTCTTTGGAGCTCATACATGAAGTGTAGTTCCTGACCTTCCAGAAAAACTTTAAGGGACGAGGACTTGACGTGAATGATGATTTACCTTTGGTTGCTCGATAAGTGTTTTTAACAATCGGGACACGTCTGCTGCTGTCGGGTTTGTGGGGGGGGCAGTCGGCAGTTGTGATTGTGAAATTCACTCCTGTGCTTGTGTCCCAGTTCCGTTTCACGAGGCAGCACCAGACTCTGCGAGTCCTGGGTTCGCAGAAGCTGACGCAGCTGCGAGACGCCATCTGCTGTGTCAGCGACCTGCAAGTGAACGGGGAGTTCGGCAACACGCCCGACATGGTGCCCGAGTTTATCAGCAAGGTGGGCGCCACGCCGCCGCCAGCTTCCTCACCTCACACCTCCCCGTTGGGCCAGTCGGCCGGACAAGGCGTTCAGGCCTGTGTGCTGAGGCTCTCCCGCGGCTTCTCTTTCAGGATCTCTACAAGTCGGCTTTCTTTTTCTTCGAAGGGGTGTTTTACAATGACTTCCGGTACCCAGAGTGCATTGACTTAAGCAAGTATGTCAGTGTTTTTTGGCGCCGTGGGGGGGGGGGGGAAGGGGTTGTCCTCTGACATTCTACACATGAGAAAGATCAATTCCTTGGTAAACTGATCGAGGACGAAGTCTCAATGCCAAAGGCGAGCATCGTTTCCCTCAGTATTCCAGGATAGGAGAGCCTCTCAACTCTGCTAATCTCTGAGGGCACATTTAGGTCGTTTACCTGTCTCAGGTATGCTCCTGAGCTCTATAGAATCAAGTTGCTTTATACTGCATCCAGTGTCACATAATCAAAGTTTGTCGAAGAGCAGTGTATCCAACACAGTAGTAGTATGCTTTTAGCCTTACTCTGCAAAACAAATGTCATAAGCTCAAAGCTAACTTAGCTGTAAAATCAAAATACCAGCACGTGTTTGAGAACTGAATTTGCCCCACAGGACCATTGTGGACTGGACAAAGACTCATGACTTCCCACCCTTCCAGTCCAGGAAGATGGAAGAGACGTTGTTCAGTGACCTTAGGCTGAAGGTTGGCTACCCATACCAGTACTGCCACCAGGGGGACTGTGAACACGTTGTGCTTATTACAGACATACGGTGAGCTTTTTGCAAACATATGACTTCAGATAGTGTAAGATATCTCAACATTTGATTAATAGTTATATGGTGTATTACCTTATATTACTGAGTGCTTACGTTTATACTGAAACACTTAAGTACAGTGGTACCTCAGAACTCGAATTTAATCCGTTCAGAACTCCGGATCGAATCCTAAAAAGTTCGAGTTGTGATCGAATTTTCCCCATAAGAAATAATGGAAAAGCAATTAATTGGTTCCCGGCCCCAAAAAATTACACCTAAATGTGTTTTTTTTAGCATTTAAACACAAAATGAATTGGATAAAACAAGAAGAGCATATACTGTACTAAACGCATTTAAGTACATTTATCAAAATAGTAATTTGTAAAGTAAGAAAATGTATCCAAACAATGTGTCCTGCCCTGATCGTCCGCTCCTTCCGTGTGTCACGCCCCCTCGTTAACCCCGTGTGGAATCCCCGTGTGGAATCCCCGTGTGATCAGCTGTTTCTGCTTGTTGTCATTAGTCCTCTGTATTTCGTCCACGTTTCAGTTTGTTTCCCCAGTCCGGTCATTGTATTGTCCGTCTGCGCTTTGCCTGCCTTACCTGTAATTAAACCCCATGTTCCCCGATACCCTGACGTCTGCGCCTTTGTCTCCGTTCCGTCCCCGCTGGGCACAACAATATTATTATAATTAAATGTATTAAGGCTTATTAATATTAAAATAAATAAGAAATCTATTTAAAAATGTATTTTATTATATAATTACTGTTACTGTCTATCATTGTCTAAATGTATTTTTACTGTCTAAATATATGTATTCAGCTAGTGTAAACATGCACGGTGCTATCACAGTGAATACGAGACTGAGACTGAAGCTTTACTCTTTGTTTCCGCTGAGAGACGTGCCGCGTGACTCATTTCCCAGCGCGTACAAGTTATCTTAGGTCGGCGTTCACGGTTTGACTTCTGAGATTCAGATCGAGCTCTGGGTAATTTTTTTTCGAACTGGTTGGTTCAACTTTTAAGAAATCTGAGTTCTAATGAGTTCGAGAACTGAGGTACCACTGTATTATCTAGTTTGGAGGACTACAAATAGCTAAATTATAGCATAAAAATTTGTTCTTACAAAAACATTTAATACATATGGTCTGAGCAGTGAATGGATTGGCTATAGGCTTCATGATGAGCATCTTCTCCTCTCCTGTCCCCTTCCCACCATGTTAGGATAGCCCACCAGGATGACTGCCTGGACATGAATCTGTATCCCCTCCTTGCCTACAAGCACAGGGTTAAGACCCGGAAATGCTCAGTCTGTCATATGTATATCAGCAGGTAAGAAATGACACACTGTGCCCAGCACCAGCTGAATTCTGCTCTTAGACCATCTAGATCAGTGTTTCCCAATCCAGTCCTCGGGGACCCGCAGACAATCCACGTTTTTGCTCTCTCCCAGCAAAAATCTGGTTATGATTGACAAAATGATGCCTCATGAACCATTTGTTGTATTTGTTGGCCCCACTACGAGGTGCTCTCTCTCCAAAAAAGGACACAAAGCATGCCCCAAAGCAAGCCAAGAGCACCATCTAGTGGGGACAAAAAAATACAGCAAATGGTTCATGAAATATCATTTCGGAAGGAGGGAGCAAAAAAACATGGACCACCTGTGGGTCCCCGAGGACTGGGTTGGGAAACACTGTCCTAAACCCTTCGGTTGACTATGCTTTGCATCACACAGATGGATAACCACCAATGACAGCCTGGCCCCTATGGACCCCTGTCTCTTCTGCGAGCAGTGTTTCCGCATGCTACACTACGACAAGCAGGGCAACAAGCTCTGTGACTTCCTGGCTTACCCCTACGTGGACCCAGGGGCCTTCAACTGACCCCTGTCCTTGGAGAACAGGGACACCATTTACTGCCATGCAGTATGTTCTTACAAGAAGAGACATTGATGTACAATGCAAATAGGTGTAATTTTGGTTAAAACTTCAAATCAATAAAATTGTGTTGTTTGGGATTACTCTACAAATAGCTGCAGTCATTAGCTGATGTGTGGTGGAACAAACTGAAAACGTACTTTAAGGATACCTTAGATCAGTGTTTTCCAACCCAGTCCTCAGGGCACTCCGGACAGTCCACGTTTTTGCTCCCTCCCAATCAGGAACACTGAAAACCTGGTATAGGTGCACTGGGAGCTGAGAGGAAGCAAAAACGTGGACTGTTTGGGGTTCCCCGAGGCCTGGGTTGGGAAACACTGCCTTACATTAAGCCAGCAGTTCTACTGGTTGAAGAGCTGAATTTGAGTAGTGCTAATGTTCTTGCAACTACTTTAATCTGCCCATAACTACACAAGGATGATTAGGGTTAAGATGGTGTGTGAGTTATCTGAATGGAGGTGGTGCCTTAAGGCAAGGGCCAGCAATGGATTAAAGAACCTTAAACACATGGGTGGAGATATTCCACAAGCTACACATGGAGTAGACTTAAAGGTGCTTGACCGCATGGCTGCAAGTGTGAAGGTCAAGCTATGGAGTGATGAATACCAAGAATACCAAAGGCAGCATCCTACCACTAAAGCATTCTAAAAGTGTGGTTAGCAGCTGAATACTACCAGGCTTTCAAAAGTCATTTCTGAAATACACCACCTCTGGGCAATTTTAGGACTACATTGGCTTGGTTACCGGTTTATTGAAGACCAGTGTTGTTTCTGAAGTTGTTTGGATCCAGACAATAAACTTTGCGGGGGAAAATGTTCTAAACTTCTTTATTACCAGAGATATACCTGGTTTATAAGACAGGCACAAAAATACTCTTATGTACAAACACGTATGCAAAATGGGCAACTTAAAATCACGGGCCTGCTCCCGGGGAACTCAAGGGCATCTGCGCGCGGACGGCAGAGGAAGCTTTGGCACACTACCCAGACTTCACGCCTGATGCTCGCTTTCCTAAAGGAACAGCTGAAGGAATATTTACACTGAAACAGCAGGGAGCAGCTTTAGGACGAACACCTAAGTGACAAGACAGTTAAAACAAACTACTACACAAAGGATGGGTATGCTGGTTTGGAACCTAACTAGGTGCAGAGGGCTACGTTACGAGGATTACCAGATGAAAGGGGTCAGGTAACAGGATGCGGTTTTGGAATGTCAGTCAGTTCGGGGTGGCAAGCCGCTCGCTGCATCACCGGAGTCCTAGACCACAAAATTTACGGCAGCGGGTTTGAAATGTGTAACGGGACCGAAAGGAGGCATAAGTCGGTTTGGCCAAGTAGCAAAGAGGCGAAACAATGGGAACAGACATGGTACGTTATAGCTGAGTGGCTGGCACTGACGACTCTGCCCACGCTTAGGAACCAGAAAGAGAGAAACAAAAACATTGTGGCACACTGACACCAGGAACGGACACGGACACATCCCGAGGGTGGGGACTGTGGACGTCCCATCTGGACCCGCATGATCCTACTGCACCGCAAAAGTGTCGCTCGTGCTCCCGGTCCGTAGGGGATCTCGCAGGCGGGCAGGCTGGGCATCTCAGGCCGAGTCTTCCTGAGCCTTTGTGACACTGAATAATGAGAACATTGAGTTAGTAGTAGTGTGTATATGATAACAACTACGTCTGATGACCGTATGACGCAGTAAGGGTTACAGGTAAAATGCGCACTCCTAACTGCTCCCCCGCACTCGTCTCCTAGCGCGTCCTCCTCACCTCTCCTCCTCTGTGGGGCTGCTCTCCTCCAGTAGCCGCTCTGGCCTATTCTCGTCAGGACTGGCGTCGCCGTTCACGGCTTTGTCTACAGCGAGTCGCGAAAGACACCAATGAGAATGTGACGAAGAATCACGCGTGGGAGCCCTTCAAGTGAAGGGGACGTGGGACGTGACCGAACAACCTGTCTGGTTCCTTGATCACTTTGCTACCGGTTACCATAAGGCTAACATGTCCTCATCTGCCATGGGTTTAAACAAATATTCCCGCTGACCGGGGATTTCGCCATAGCAACCGCATCACCCCAAGCACACCCCCGCTCACCTACACCTTGCTCCCTGGCCTGCTCCGCCCGCTTCAGGGCGCTTTTCTTGGCCTCCTCATGCTGTCGCTGCTCCGCCAGCGACTTGTTGAGCACCTGGCTCAGGACGGAGTCGCCTTCTCCGACGAGGAACATTGTCTTGAATTTGTTGTAGAGCATGGTGGCCTTGTCCATGATGTCCTGGCAGGCTTTGAATCGGCGGATCTGCCCCCAAAAAGGAAGACCATACTTACAGGATCTCACTACAGGCAAAACAAAAAAAGATGGCTGATTCTGGAGGGGAGGGGGGGGGGATCCCACCCACCTTTTTGAGTGTGGCAATGAGCTCACTGTGCTTCTGAAGGTGCTGGGTGGTCAGCTGGAGAGTGCTCAGTTCATCCAGGGCTAGCAGGCACTTCTTCACATCCTGCATGTAGCACAGGAGACCCCATCGCATCTGAAAGCTAACGCAACTGCGACCTGGATCTGACACTTTCCCCAAAGGATGATGGAAGTCAGGAACCACCACCTCATCCATGTGGTTAAGACCATATCTACACTCAGCAGGGCTTTAGATAACAGGTGCCGTATATATAGATTACTAGCTTTTGGGTGTCACCGTACGCCTATCGTTAATATTCTAAGTGTACTACTAATCTGCTTTTCAAATTGCAAGTGGAAGGAAACGTCCCAACAGGGCCGAAAAGCCGGCATCCAGACAGATTCTGCCGGCCATAAATACATTGGCACACCTGTTATCTAATACCCTTGACATCGCGAATGGGCCCTACAAACTCCATCAGCTTTCAGTGCCGCCCTACACAGGCCAGCGTGGAGAACACACTCATTGATGCACTTTGTCTTGATCTATAAATACAGCTTATACATAGCCTTTAGGAAGCAAGTCCACTCTTTTCAGTAATGTTAGTGCTCAGGGGAGGGGGGGGGTCGGGCAGCCAGGTGACCTTGGACCCCCAAAGGTTTTTTCCCTCCTTAATTGGGAGTTATTGGTTCCTCTCCTCCATTGTCATCTGACATTATGTAATTTCTTTCCTTCCCATATTACTGATGTTTAATGTTTCACGATACATCCATGTAAAGCACCTTGGGACGATTCTGTTGTGAAAGGCGCTATATAAAAATTAACTGAATTGAACTTAGTCTGAGTAAGACACAGACCTCCTGACTGATGTCTGACGTGGTGTTGGGTTACTAAGCCATAAAACAAACACACTGTGTGTCTATTCCTTTTAATGGCACCTGTGACAGCTGGAAAACACCTCTTATGAAATTAATCAAGTAATCAATTTGTTAATAAGGAAGAAAACCTATTTCCAAGCAGGGTTACATATCTGATGTGTGTTTTGTTGCTGGGGTGCATTAGTCCTTACATTTATAATTCTGGAGATCAGTGTCAAACTCCTGAATGTAAATAAAACTATTTCTTTCGTCAAGGGACGCACATCGGGTTGAACTTACGGGGTTATCAATCTTCAGTGATATCTTGATTTCTCCATGCAACCTCTGCAGTCGTGATTCTGTCGATACATCTGAATCATTTAGGGCATTAAAAGTAAACTGTTAATGGACCAATGCGCTGAAATAATATTTCCCTTCAGCACACTGAACAAGCACAGTTACTACACCGGCGCAGAAACCCTGTTCCACGTAAGCAGAAGGTGGATGGCTGAAATAACACAAAAGTAAAATATAAACTCCATCTCCATGGCCGAATGGCCTGAATCCTACTTCATGGAGTGTTTGTGTTGCTACATTACTACATCACTGTAGGAGCATCACCGTCAAACAGACAAATGTACCTTTTTTCTTGTCTCCCTTCCTTTCATCCAGTTTCTTTCCATCGTCTTTATTCTGCCTGGGAAAGATCATTCAGAGATGATTGGCCAATTCTGCCTACCCCTTAAATAAACAGCTTTTCAAGTCCAGTTTATAAAACGATTAGGGATGTCCCCATACACGTTTCCCCCCAAAATGTATATCTGCCAATTCCGGTCACTTAATAAATATTTAAATACACACACACACACACACACACACACACACAGTAGGCATTCTTCACCCGAGTAAGCATTGCGATTTCACATTATTTTTCCATATGATGTTTCTCCAAGTGCCTAATTAGATTTGTTATATTAGTCAAAGTTCTGCTGTTGCCTCCTCTCAAAAGAACGGCACTGTGAACATTGCAGGTAGCTTTTGGGCTGCTTTGTGTTTTCAGTTTAAAGAATTTACACACGGCCGACATCTCAATAGTTTGTAGCATCAAGCTAAGTGCCTCAGGCTCACTGCAGCGAATGACAGAACCTTACAATCCACGCAACTGACGTGAACTGGGCGGATGCAGGAAATTAAACAGACCAGGCTTTGGACTGGGCTCTGGTAGCCAGTACAGATTAATGCCTTGATCAGCCCCAATTCTGATCTGATATCTGCTCAGAACATCACTGAAAATTATTAAAATCAGTATAAAATTTGTATTTTGACATTTATTTTACAGTGAGAATTTATGTTTTAAAAAAAATCTGAATTTAAAATACTGAGAATAATTACATGTAGTGAACATCACAGTCCATTACGTCGGATAAATCCTGTATAAACTGTAAAAGCCTTTGCCACCATCTGGTGGATGAGAGATAGAATTACAACAATATCCACGACCTCACATCGCACATATGAGTCCCTAAGGCTGTATTTCACCCATTTATATGACTGGGGATTTACTGGAGCAATTCAGGTTAAGTACACTGCTCAAGGGTACAACAGCAGGACTCCTCCTGGGACTTTAATAAGCAGCAGTAAAAAGTAAAGCATGATTTTTTGCTGGACTAAACTGACTGCTTATAAATCTTTCAGACAGCATATTTCCCCTGTTATGAATGTGAAGCCATATTCACCCAATAAAATTCTTTTTAAAAATGAAATACTGCTGTTTATGACTAGGAAGGGCGGAGGTCCAACGCAGTGTGATGTTGAGCGGCGTCGGTGGATAATTAAACGG